CACCCACCACCACACCCAGCTAATTTTTGTACTTTTAGTAAAGTCAGGTTTTGCCATGTTGGTCAGGCTGGTCTCGAACTCCTGCTTTCAGGTGATCCGCCTGCGTTGGCCTCCCAAAGTGCTGGGATTACAGGCATGAGCCACCCTGCCTAGCCCTATTGCATGTCTTATATCTAGGTTGACATGATTTGAGGTACTGTGAATACTGTTGTGAGCAAAATGAATTTGGACCCTATCGTCAGAAGGTCCTGCCTCCTGGCAAAGATATTAATCAAATAATAACACTAACCTAAAACGAAACATTGAAAAAACAAAACAAAACACCTGGTAAGTGTAATGAAGAAAAAGCATGATGAGCCCGGAGTACATTTTACAGAGAGCATCAATTTAATGCCTGAGCAAGCAAAGAGGGTGGAAGAGTGTTCTGGCAGAGATACCAGCTTGTGCTAAGGCCCTGAGATAGAAGGCAATATGATGCTCTCTAAGATCTAAAAGAAAGGCTCTTCGTAAAGAGCTGTATGAATCCAAGATCAAGAATCCTCCAGACTTGGCCAGCAGTTCCTTAGCTTGGCATTTGACCATTTGTGGTCCTTTGAGTGAAAGAACCCAGAGGGTTCAGTTCTCTGCTACAAACCAGAGAAAGCCCTCCTCCCTGTGCCTTTTTTTATTTGGCTGGCTTTGTGCTTTTGTGGGCAGTGCTTGGCAAGATCATTCCAAACTTCTGGAACAAATCTTTGAGTGGCTTCCAAAGTCACCTGGGATTTGTTGCTTCGTGGAGAAAGTCATAGAAACTTCAGACAGAAAGGATCTTAAAGACACCTGAATTTCTTGCAGGACTGGTCTATTAGGGAGATTTTCTTATAGCAAAAGTGATCTGTTATTTAATTATTATTTCCTCCCCCAGTCCCAGACGGGAAAAGCTGAGCAGCTGGCTCTGGAGTCTTAGCTGAGGTCCTATTAATATGGGAACTTCCTGAGCTACAATGCTTCAATTGGAGTCATCATGCGTCTTCTCCTCCATTGGCTAACTGGCTGGCAATGAGCCTCTTACTTCACAGTACACAGTATTGTTAGTTTCCTTAAAGATTCCAAAGTTTGACTTACTTTACTGATTTAAAGAGAAAAAGAAACTATTCTGATTGTGTTCCTCCACATGGTGAATATTAGCTAAATTTTCAAACACCAATTAAGAACAATTTTTATATCATCACACTCATTTAATTCAATGTATTCTTAGTGTGCCTAGGGAGAATGGGCAAAGAATCTGCAGAATAATGCACTGCTTCTCGGAAGCAGGCTTATGTGACAGAAAGCCCTCCTTGTGATGAGAACTAGGGAAAAAAACTAACTGTCCTACTGTTGACTTTGTATATTTTACCGGTCTCGAGATGCTTGAAATGTACAGTGTATGCTTTAGTCTCTGTTATCTGTGAAACTCTTAGGCTGAGAATTCATATTGTAACAAAGTTCTAATCTTTGCTAAGGTACACCTAATGCAGTCAAAATAGCAACATACATTTATTTATTTTTTACAATTAAAAATCTGTTATCTTCAGAGTAAGCAGCTGAGATCTTAGAATGCCACAAGCTATGTGACTAAGAGCAAAAGCTGAAGGTAGGACAGACACAGTAGAAGAAAAATGTTCCTGAAATTGAACATAAAATTAAAGTATTTTCAGTGCAGTCTTTTATCATATTTCTGCTTATTTAAATGTTATGTTGCCACATAATAAGGCTTTGAAACATTGAAAATAGAGTTTAGGGTAGTAGACTTCGAAAGTGTTAGAGAAAATGGACGTCAGAAAGCAGTCCATCACTACTTAAGATCTCTCAGAAAGTTAGCTTTGCTTAAAAATATTTCAAGAAGAATTCAGTTCGAGTAAAATGTTTGCCTGAAACGTAATTGTTTTATCAACTTTTCCTTTTCATGCCACAGGCATCTTACGAATAACTAATTTATTCTTGGGAAGTTTTCTGTTTTCCAAGCTCTAAGCTATAGGACTACAGGAACACAGAAATCTGTTTCAAAATGTGAATTTTTCTTTTTTAACTCTCATTAAGAACTCATTGGCATCTTGAATGTTGTTCTGGTAGCACATAACTGTCACTGCAAAAATTTTGTTAATTCTGGATTTTCTCATTTCTCCCTTGATGGTTTCTGAGCTGTGAACTATTTTCCACATTTTAGTTATTTTACTACTTTTAAAACAAAATTCCATCGGTGGGAAGTTTCTAAGATTGTGATTCTTTATATATATACACATTATCTGGCTTAAATATGAGTGCCATCCAGCTTCTTCAACAGCCAACGAACTCTGCTCTTAGCTTTACAAATATGGTCCTCTAATTCTGAACATCTGAAATTTCTCTACATTAAACCACTGCACCTGTAGTCATTAACAATATTTAAGAATGACCTGCTAATCCTCTTAGGAACTTGGAGGTTCATGTTTTCATTATATCACCTATTGTTTTGTTTGCTGTTCTACTATAATTGTATCAATTTCCCCAAAGCACACCATGTACCAGAGTCAAATTGTCTACATGTATAAAAGCAGGAGTCAGATCTACATGCTGTATTAAAGTCCATTTCCATGGTTTTAGTAAAGAGGTGAATCTTATTGCCTCTGTAAGCTCTTAGCTTTATCAAAATTATTCTAAATGGACACCAAGAAAATCTGGGCTCTAACTCTCATCCTATGGGAAGGTGTTGATGACGTAAACCCTGGGAGGGATACCCTTCAGGGGAGCAAATGTTATACTTAAAACACTTTTCCATGCTGTTGAAAGCACTGTACTCAAGTCTTCCTTGTCCTAGCACAGAGATGACTCCATGCCATTTTGCAGAAAGGATTGAAGTTTTTCCAGATTTCTCTAATTAGGAAACTACCATACAATTTAAAGTATTTTTTTTTTTTTTTTTGCACAAGGCACACACTATTGCACTATTTTGCATCTTCATGCTGCCTTCTCTAGCGGATAGTGCCTCAACACTGTACCTCTTGCCTAAAATATAAACCCACTGTATACTCACATAATCATCCTAAAACGCTATGCAATAGAGAACCGATTTCACCCGCCCGCAAACAACACATGCTCTTAATTAGTCCCTCAAACACATAGCTCTCTGCTAAAGCACATCCTGCCTCTGCTGGCTGGAGCTTTCACAAACCAAAGACTAAATAAAGGAACAGTGTGGCTGCTGTAGCACCTCCACTCCCTGCTCAGTACAGGAAGGAATTCTTTAATAGGCACATGTGTAGTACAGGACAGTAGTACATTCCCTCCCTGCATTCTCACGCGGGGACACATCTTTTTCCTTGTACAATGGATCATAATTCGAAAAAGCATAAACGTGGTAAGACAGAAAAACACAGCTTTTTATTTTCGAGATGGATGATACAGGAATATGTCTCTAGGTTTTGTTTTTTTTACCAGTCAGCCCTGCTGAAAGTCCCAATGTCAACTGCCACACAAGCATGAGTCTTTTTTTAGAGAAATTGTTTGTGAGCCCACTTAACAAAGTGTTGCAGGTCACATCCAAAAATATATATAATCTACTGTTTTAAAAATGGAAACCTATGATTGCCAGAAAGAAATCTTCTGCAAGCTTTGCTCTGGGTAGTTTGTACTAAAGTAAAACCGTCACCACCCACTCCCCATTCAAGCCGAGATTTAAAAAGGCAGCGAACTAAAAGGAACCACAAGTCAGTCCGTCCTCATCAGAAAACACAGAGATCAGAGCAAATTACAATGCTAAGGAAAGGCTCGACTACTCAAAGACCATCTCCTCGGGACGAGACAGAGATATGGAGCCATTTTTCACTAGGTTCACAAGAAAATGTCAGCTCACAGCTGCTAGTGCACTGCCAGAGCGCATCTTAATTTGGTCCAAAGGGACTCAGCTAGTCACCCTCGCAGAACATTTTCTTAAAGAGTCCCCATTACAAATGTGATTCCCTCAGCTTCGAGCATCTTCTTGTTATATAGTCTGTGGCAATTGCATGGCACCGATCTGCATCCTATTCAAAACTAAATGCTTCCCCCCACTTCCTCTTAACATCATGTGAATTAGACACTTCTGAGTCAAAGGGGAAAAAAAGAGGAAGAGAAGCTTTCTCTTCCTACTCCCCACCCTTCTCCAGCTTCTTGACTAATACCTCCAGGCAGTTCACTTCAGAATAGAGCAGATTCTTGACCAGGGCACTATGGCAAATTGGCATACAAGCCTCTTGCTATCACAGAAAGCACAAGCAATGCTTTCTTTGTAAAAACACAGGAAAACACACATGCTGGAACAAAAGACCACTCTATCTGCACAGCAAGAAACAAGAGAAATTATGTGTTTGTTTTACACACATCTGTACCCACTGGTTTTTTTAAAAAGGCTTTAAACCTATTTTAATTATGACACATTGTATTTTTCCCCCAACCAGCTTAAAAAATCAATTTTTTAAGCTTCTGCCTTGATAGGAAGTAAAACACACTGCTGGAAGGATACCTGGTGGGTGTCTTTGTTGATGGGTGCCATTTCAAACTTATTATATTTGATGTCCATTATGTGGGAAATAAAGATAAGGCAAATGCACTTGGTTCTCTGAATTATTCTGACATTAGAAGAAATGCCAAGTCAGCAGATATTTGCTGTTTACATTTCACAATAACCTAATCATGCAATTGCAGCTTTCTGGAGCAAAACGCTAACTGCTCTCCAAACAGCCACCTGACAATCTAGGGCTAAAACACACATTCTGACTCAGAAGGAGACATCATGACGGCTCTCCACTGGCTGTATTAAACAAAAGCTCCGCAAACAAACGAGGGGCATTTGGCAAATGAAGTGAGAGTCGAATCAAGTTTAGGTTCACATCTGGTGGAATATGGCACTGCCTTCCCCAGGGGTTGAGGAGCAGAAGGGTTTGGAGGCTATAAATAGAAAACACACACATACACACATGCAGATATTTAAGCCAGACCCGGGTCAGTTTCAGCTTACTAACCTAGAGCTCTGTTCAGAGGAAGCAGAGAAGCCGCACGTCCTCTCCCACCTTTCCATGGTCCTCAGTCAGTGTCTTCTCAAACCACCTGTACTGATCCAACCCATTCGCAGATAAAAATAATTTTCTTGATAGAAGTAGTCTCAGCTGAGCTTTGATTGTTCAACATGGATGTCTAGAATTTTCCTCTTTAAGCCAGACACAGCAACACAAAACTGCCGCTGAGCTCTTTTGTTTTCCCTCCTCTCGAAGATGAAGCATGCAGCACTTCTCTCTCTCTCTCTCTGTCTCCCTCTGCCTCTCCCTCTCTCCCTCTCCCTCTCTCTCTTTCTCCCCTCTCTCGCTTCGGCTCTCTCCCTCCGTTTCCCTTTCCCCAACCCCCACCAGCAACCTCGCTCCCTTCCCGGTCAGTCAGGGGCATTTACATCTCTCAGCACGAGAACCTGTGTTATCTATGCGCCTGTCTCTCACTTTTGGGTTTCCTCTGGGAAAGGGAGGGGGGCGGCTCTAGGTGAAGTCAGGTGACCCCTCCATTAAAAGCCAGTGAGATGGATGGAGTGTGTGAATTTTAATATACACACAGGCACATTTACATTACAAAGCAGCGAGGAAAATCTAGCTCCTAGAGATTAAGCATTTTTGTTTCTGCTTTCATAGTCCCCTTTTAGCAATTAAGAGAAGCTACTATAGTATAATGAAATGTAATTAAACTTTTCAGCGTTAATAACAAGGCTACATCCTTTCAGAATCATCCAACTCAATTCTTTTAAACTTGTAAGCATAACTGTTTCTTTTTCTTTCAAGGGTCAAAGAATCAGTGGTTTTACTACTTACACGCTTTTTCGGATGGGTCTTTTATTTGGCATCTATTTAAACTTATCCTAAAGTTAAATATTATTATAAAAGACAATAAAAATAATGTAAAAGGAAAAAAAAATATGTGACAGAAACACCAAAGCACATAGCACAGGTAGAAATCAATAGTTTGCTATTGTGGAACTAGATTCAATAATGAGTAACTTTTTGCTCTGAGACAAATAATTTTTCCCTTCTCTGTTTCAGTGGCTCTGTCTTAAATAGAAATAAATGTAATAAATGTAGCAAGTATCCTCTTCTTGAAACCCAATCAAGCAAGCCTAGTAGAGAAGGGTGTCCAGGTAGCTAAGACCACATAGTACCCCAGAGACAGAAACAACTGGAAAACCTTGTGCTAACCTAATATAGCACTGAAGATACATTTATAGTCTATGGACCAAGCCCTAAAGAGTAAATCTGACACCACCTTCTCCCCACTGTGAAGTTTTTAATATCCAGGGGAGGCCATCTTTTCTATCTCTACCACTGAATAGAAAAGATATGTAATCTGCTGTTATGAACACTGTAAAGAAAAATGAGATAATACCATTTTCTTTCAAGGGTCAAAGAATCAGTCATTTATTTGGAACACTCAGATAAAAAGTACTTTGTAAAGCTAAGTGATAATTAGAATGAGGACCAACAAGCATCAGAAGAAGACTCTTATTTGGCAATTGGTGCTGTATCCATGGATTCTCAATTCAAGGGCATGATGATGCTGGTGCCTCGGCAAAAGAGGAAAACGGGGAGAGCTGACATAAAATCACATTATCCTTGCCACAAAAGACAACATTTCGAACTCTTACACAAAGAGCCTCTCCCTCATTCCAGAACGATGTCAGAGAGTGTTGCATTTGCTGCTTGGATTGAGGAGGCCAGCTGAAATATACCCAATCCACTCCATCAACACCTAAAATGAGTAAGAACTATTCACTGCTCTTGCTGGCTTTGTACTTTAAAAGCTTTACCTTGCATGGAAAAGATCCTATTTAAGCTTTTAAAATAAATTATATGCTAACTGGCTGCAAATTTAGCTTCAGTTTGTGCTACAAAAATTGGCACCAAAACACTGGACAATAAAAAAAAAAATCTTCCCTCGAAAAGTTAAGTTGCCTTAGGCAAATTTAGAAAGACCTAAAATGTTATAGGAAAAAAATATAAAGGATTTCACTTTATAGCTTCTAATAACCAAATCTGCTGCTCTTTCACCTTTTCTTTTTTCCCTCTAGCATTGGCTGTTTTCCTTTTGCGTTTAATCAGAGTTCTGTTTTGTTTTGTTTCCCCTACTTCACCCCTGGCTTTTGTTATTTTGGCCATGGAGTCACTTTCCTTGAATGTGCAAAAATGTTGGCAGGGACAGAGAGTGAGAAAGACATCTTACCTTAGATCAGATAATGTATGAGCTTTAACCCAAACACTGGTGTATGGCAACTTTCAGGCTCCATGCTATTCTAACGAAGATACCTGATAAACATGGAATGCAGACTGCATATATTTTCTATTAAAAAATAGAAAGATCATGACTTAAAGAGGCCTATTAAAACTCACCAATGACAGGCCAGTGCAAAAAAAAAAAAGATTAAAATTAATTAGCAAAAACAGTATAGCAACTAATGCTAGCCAACTTTTCAAAATTCAGTCCATTACTCAAGGAATAAACTGAAGTGCTGACATAGGGTAGAATAAATCTTTACTAACACACTCATTTATTCAACTAACTTTCATTGAGCACTTCTTTTGTGCTAGGCATTATACGAGGCACTGAGGAGTACAAGGAAAAGAAAACAGTGTTTTTTCAGAAACTGAAAACATGTCCCCACTAACATATAATAGATGTTAGTACCAAGTGCTATGGAATGTCAGAAAAAGAAGAAAAATTCTCCTTAATGGGAGGCAGGACAGTCACATAGAATAGGTAACCCTTGAACTTAGCCTTTAAGTATGTGTCAGTTTTCTAGGTAAGAAAGCAAAGGCAGGGGATTTCAGGCAAAAAGACACAAAAAACATGAACAAACCTAACGGGCTGTGAGTGATCTTGTATGTTCTGCCCAAGAATTTATGCTTCATCTAAGATGCAATAACAAGTTATTTAAAGTTCTTTGGCTAGAAAATTATATGTTTTACAAAGATTATTTTAGCAGCAAGGTGAAGGGCAGATTACAGAAGTGTTTTCTAAACTTTCCTAATTATAAGAATTACTTGTACATTATAGTAAATATGTATATCACTGGGTTCCGTTCCAGATCTAGAGGAGAAGTCCAAGAATATCTATTTACAAGTAGTATCCCAGGCAATTACTATCAGAAAGTTTCTGGAAACACTGGTTTTGTGGTGTTTGCTGAGCACTAGAATCACCTGTAGAGATTTTAACCAATCAACTACAGCCCACCTCTAAATTACTTAAATCAGAATATCTGGGGATAGAACCCAGAACTACTGTTGATTTTAATCTTCTAAGGTGATTCCAATATAGCTGAGGTTGGTAATCATTGGTTTAGAGAGAGGCAAGACAGAAAAAAAAGACTATTTAAAAGCTGTTGTAGAGAATATTTGAGTAAAACAACAGAATTCAGCTAGCTCAAATAAAGGAGTATTAATGTTACAAAAGGCAATAACAATGAGATTTTTCAGATGCAGGTATTGATCGACTTACGACCTATGCAACTTACAACCATTCGACTTTACGACCACAATCGCTAGCCACGACTGCTCCTGGTTGGGCGTACGACAGTGCGAACCAGCTTCCGGCAGCACTACCATCTCCGTATGCACCATTTCAACTATACATATAGCCTACTCAACTTACGACCAAATCGTGTTACGACCGGTCTGCCGGTCCCAATTGTGGTCGTTAAGTCGAGCACTAGCTGTAACATACACATAGGAAGCACAGTAACACTATATGAAGCCTCACAGGACCTGGGGCTAAGAAGCCACTAAAAACCAAGAATCCTCTTCTCCCTGCCATTAGAAGCTGTATAATTGCCCCCTTTGATTCTTCCTGTCTTCTATTCTTTTTTCCTTTTTTTTTTTTGAGAGGGAGATTTGCTCGTCACCCACGCTGGAGTGCAATTGTGTTATCTTAGATCACTGCAACCTCCACCTAGCGGGTTCAAGCACTTCTGCCTCAGCCTCCCAAGTAGCTGGGATTACAGACGTCCACCACTACACCCAGCTAATTTTTGTATTTTTAGTAGAAACAGGGTTTCACCGTGTTGGACAGGCTGGTCTCGAACTGCTGACCTCAGGTGATCCATCCGCCTCGGCCTCCCAAAATACTGGGTAAACAGGTGTGAGTCACCGCGCCCAGCACCTGTCTCCTGTTCTTAACCAGCCTCCTTTTCTTGCATCCTGTCACCTCCAAGGCCGTGTTGTCTTGTCAATTCTAACATCAGTGGGCAAAGACTGTATTGGTTGTGCTGATTTCCTTAGTTTGCCCCTGATCGCATCAGTTATAGCCAGTGTCTCACATTCACTTTGCAGGAGCTTGGGCAAAGATTTTCTGAGAAGACCACAGGCAAGGCAGACACACCTAAACATATCCAATACAGATACAACAGTTCAAGCAAAACATGATTAAGAAGGCTTGAGTAGGCCAGTATTAGAAAAGACTAAATGTCCCCGATGCTTTTCAGAAGTGGAACTCACAGAACCTGGAGACTAACTGAATATGAGGGTATGGAAGAGAAAAAGTCACCACAAAAGAAAAAGTTTACCTTCATTTACTCTAGTTGCTATGTTATAATACAGACACTGCTAAGAAACTATCCATTTGACTAGTCAGTAGAGATATATATTTGATTTCGAATGCCACACTTATATATATAGAAGCCTAAAGGCCAATGGAAGGCCAAAATTTAATCAGGAAATTTAGACAAATGGGGATGGTTACATACGGAGTTCTATATATACCCAAGATTGTTATGAAACCAACTGAGAGACCTATTATCTCTTGTGGACACCAGGGACTTTTTTACATCTGTGCCTTTGATTCCCCTTCCTGAAATGAACTCTCCCTTCCTTTCTCCATCTATACTTTATCTATTTTATCTCTAAGGACTCCCTGATAACATTGTGCACATGAATCTACCCCATCTCTAGTACAGTTTAAACTTAAGGTATATAGCTATTACAACAGCAGCAGCAGAAATAAAAATACTAATATAAGGTTCTTCTATTAATATTGAAGGATTTGGCTTTTTTAATTGTCACGATAACTTGGAAAGTGAAGTGTGGAAAACCTAAAGAACTCACTGAAGGTCAGAAAACTAGTAAGTGCAGTTTCTGGATGAAGACTCAAGGCAACTGGTGCTTTGCAGTTAACATTGTATTATACCTTATTCTTGAATCACCTGGAAACCAAAATTTAGTTGTTGATTATATTAGTAGAGAGCATTGTTAGCTGTTTTGCTTTCTACTCTCTTGTGAACATGCAAATGTCTCCATTTTAGGAACTGGACTCTATCTCTGGGTTTAAAGCCTTTCTCTGTCATTTTGGGGCTGTATGACCAAAGGCAAGTCATCTAAACTCTCTGTGCCTCAGTTTCCAGACCTATCTCATAGACTTACCATGAGGATCAAATGAAATTTTATGTTTAGCATTTAGTACAATGCCTAGAACTATTATGTTCTCATTAAATGTTAATTATTAATTATATTACCATTATTGTTATTAAAAAGTAAGAAGCAAAATCCCTCAATGAGATTTTCCTTATCCAGAGAAAAGATAGTTTACGTAGCTTTCAGATAATTTATGTAGCTTTAAATCATTCTGGTTTTACCAAGCTCCTGTTGATTAATCAAATTAGGAAACTATACTTACTAGTATTTAACTAATCATAAACTACATATATTACTTTATAATTAGATTAATACTGGATGGTCTCTTGAGATATTTTTGATCTCTTTTTGGCAGGCAGAAAGTAGAATTTGCATAATTTCTAAAAATCCATCACTTGCATTTTAGCAATAAGCTAATTATTCATTTTTTTAAAAAGCAATTATATCTGCTTTACCTATAAACAAGTCTTTTTTCTAATTAAGTATTTTCATTATTTCCATGGAACATGTCTGTACATTCTAAGTTTACTGACAAATAAAACTTCTTTTAAGTATGTATCACACTTGTCAGTTAAGTACATGTTTAGTGTAGCTATGGCATTGTGCTCATGTAAAATCAAAACCAAATAAATAGTAAATCTTATCTCACAATGGGAAAAATTCTGCATGGGAATTATGATGGTCACATTTTTGCAAACTATAGATAAGCATAACCTCGAGAAAATTGTCTTCTTTTTTCAATAAAATAAAAGTTGTTGATCCTACCAGGTAAAGATCCTACTCTTGATGATTTGTGTGAGGGTAAACTAAATGATTGATATATGATATGATTGAACATTGAGTGTGTATGTACATTACTTTGGGGTTGGCAGCTATGGTGTTTGCAGAGCCAGGATCTATTGGAAATTTCTCACCCTGTTTCATGGACTATTCACTTCTTTTTGACTGTTTAGGACAAATTAATACATTTTCTGTCACTGTCAAATGTATGCTGCTCTACTTGAAGATAGTTATATGTGGGTGCCTATATAAATATCATAGAAAATGGTTAAAGTTTGATTACCCCATTCTAAGAGAAGAAAAGCAAAAAGGAGCAAAATCATCCTTTGGGTTTTTCTTTAAACTAACCAGCCAAAACATATGTTTTAAGAAAAGCCTCTAAATATAGCACAGTGTCAAAAAGGCACAGCTTCAGCAACCCTGACTACACTATTTCCTAGCTGTGTGGTACCAGATAAATTACTCATTTGTAAAACAGTCCTCATATCACTTGTATAGAGTTATCAAGCATTAAATGACATAATGTATGTAAGGAGGTTAGCGCAGTGCCTGGTACACCACCACCATTATCACCATCACCATCAATATCATCATCACGACCACCATAATCATAACTACTACCATTACCACCACTACCATAATCTTCACCACCACCATCAGTACCACCATCATCATCTTCCTCCTACTTATCATTATAGCCAAAGCTTGTCATGTACCAGACACTGTTCTAAATAAGTGCACAGTGCTAGCTTCCACCATTATTATTACAATATTTTCTTTTAATGGTTTCAAGTTATAAAATTGCATATTTTGAGCCAATTACCTTGATATAAAACACACTATCATAATGGGCCCTAGTCAAAGTAAAGGCATCCATTTAAATACCTTCCAGTATATAAAGTAAAATAGAACATAAACTGCTTTCTCCTTTATTAGTCTTTCTTCTCGATAAACAAGTCTCAGGATCAGTTGTTGCACACGGAAGGACCCATCTAGATGATTTCTAAGTCCTCTGAGTGTAATTCATCATATATTAACAATATGCTTCACATGATTGAAAGGACCGAAGCACAAGTAGAAGGGCTGTCTGTACCAGGTGATCATGAATAAATTCCGTTCTTGAGCTGCTCTTTATGGATTTGCATTTCTGATCTCATAATGAATCATCCCAGTTTTGATTTCTGCAAACCAGGCTGAATTGGGATCTTTTCACCAGAGGATCATGCTTTTCCATAATCATCTACATTGCCTTGTGAACCCAATAAGATGGGCATAACTGGGGCAAAGACAAAGTTTGCCAGAGCTGAGCCTGGACAAAATTTTGAAATGCAGTTTATTGTCCATACCTTCCACTTCTTTTCTCTGCACTTTAATCCACTCGGTGCCACTTTCCCCATTCCCTTAGAGTCCTTCCTGCTTTTGATTCTCACTTCATAACAAAATCAAAATTCAGTAGAATAAACTGTGTAAATTAGTATGTGGTTATCTAAAGTAGGGCTACTTTTTGTCTTGGTGACTTTGGATGATTTGTATAATCTTTCAAGATAAAAACATTTCTTAGAAGTAGAAACTAAAAATAATTTCTGGAACATCTAAACTATGGCCTAAAATGTCTATTTAAAGGACTGAATTAACTGAGCACATTTCTCATAAAGTCCAATTTCAAATTAGAGTAATGGAAAATGGAAAGCTTAGAAACTATATACTCTGACCTGGGTAACCTAGCACTGGAAAAAGAGACAGTGTACAGCTGCCTTGGTTTTGAATGGCAGTTCTATCACACACTGTGTGACTTTGGGCAAGATAGCTTAATGTCCTTAAATCTTAATTTCCTCATCTGTAAAATACAGAATACAATATCTAACCTCTCAGGTATATTGTAAAAAATAAAAATAATTATGAAATTACTATAACAGAATCTAGCATATAATAGTTTCTCAGGAAACAGGACTTTCCTTTTCAGCCTTTTTTTTTTGAGGGGTTGGGGAGCCTAACTCTGTTGCCCAGGCTGGAGTGCAGTGGCACAATCTTGGCTCAATGCAACCTCTGCCTCCCAGGTTCAAGCAATTCTCTTGCCTCAGCCTCCTGGGTAGCTGAGATTACAGGTACGCGCCACCACGTCTGGCTAATTTTTAGTATTTTTAGTAGAGACGAGGTTCATTGTTGGCCAAGCTTGTCTCGAACTCCTGATCTTGTGATCTGCCTGCCTTGGCCTCCCAAAGTGCTGGGATTACAGGCATGAGCCACTGTGTCCAGCCTTTAGTCTTTTAA